GTGGCCACGGCAGCTCTGTCCAGCCGGTCCCCTGGCACGCCCCCAGTCCCACCCCTGAGCCCCAGAGCCCAGCACTCTACTCTGTGCACTGGGGGGGGGGGGGGGGGGGGGGGGGGAGGGCACCTGCTGGCCTTGTTAGCAGGGAGCTGAGGCTGAGTCAAGGTCAAGGCCAGGGAGGCGCCAAAGACAGTCCGGCGACCCACAGAATTCCCTCACCCCCTGACCCCACCTGCCACGCCTGGCTCCCCTCTGCCAAACCCCGAGGCTCCAGCCACAACCCACCCCACCTTCCTGTGACCCTCACCGGGGAAAGTTCCCCGCCGGCTGCCAGACGGGATTTAGCTCCTTTGACAGTCAAAGCTGCAAAGCTATCGTCGCAAATGTCAATTCTGGGCCATTTGCTTCGTAGATTTTAATGTTCCTGTTTCTCCTCAACATCCTCAGCAAGGTAGCTCTTGCTTTTCAAAAGGGATGTGGCGTTTGATGATGTTTAAACCGTACGTGAAATACAGCCAGGCGGCAATAATAAAACAGACGCGAGCCCTGCTGGCAGGGGAATGGCTGACAGCCGGGCCTCTCTCTTCCCATGTGCTACTCCGCAGCTAAGCTCCTATTTTTATAGCTATTACAATGTCCGAAGAGGGGGCGGAAGCAGCGATGGGGAGGAGGGAGGCGGGGACGGCTGCACAAGGGCCACTTGTGGCTGGTGGGAGCAGGGCGTGGCGGCTGGGGTTTGAATGAACCATGGCGGGTGATGCCAGCCGGGTGCCCCCATCCACCGCGGGCCGCGGCCCTCCCGAACCGCTGTGGGCCCTGGCTCCACGCCCCAGGACCCGTCCTCCCCGGGGCCGCTCTGTCTCCTGACACACACACACACACACACACACACACACCCCACTGCGAGGACATGGACAGCTGTCACCTCCCCAGCCCCGTGTGCGGGAAGCAGGGCTCAGGGCACAGGACACAGGGCAGCCTGCCTCCACCTAAGGGACCTTGGCCACCACCTGTCGTCAGGGAGCTCTCGGGCCGCCCTCACCACCCAGGGCACCACCGTGCGCACAGCCCCGTCCCGGGATGGAGACGCGGGGTCAACGGATGCCTACCCTCTCGGGGCTCCCGTCCGGTGGTGGAGTGAGGTCAATCGCTACTAAGAACGACAGCAATGGCTCACCGCGGCCCCTGCACCTGGCCAGGCACTCATTCACTTTCCTCTGATCCTCCACAGGGCGCACGGGTGGAAACTGAGGCTGGGAGAAGCCGCCCGGGGAACCGGATTTTACCCCAGTCTGTTTCGCGAGCAACCACGGGCCTGGCCTCCAGAGGCTCCCAGGCCACCCGCTGGGGGCCCCTAGACCAGGCCTGGCCAGCCCCCCCCGCCCCAAGCGCAGCTACACCCTCTCACAGGCGAGAAATCGAGACCGCGGGGAAAGGGGGCCTGGGATGGCACCCCGCGTACACAGCCGCCAGCGGGGCCTGAGGAAGCATCCGGACGGACAAATACTTGGCAAAATGAATAAATGAGCCCAAAAGGTGAGCTTTGAGACTCTGAGGAGGGGGAGGGGAGGCTGCAGTTTGCAGAGGGCCCTCTGGGTGGCGTCGGGGAGCACTTTCCCCACCTCCTGGCCCCCCATGGGCTATTCCCATGTAACTCGCACACCTTTCCCCACTGACGGCCCTGCCACAAGAGAGGGGAAACCAGCCCCCCTGCCCAGCACCCTACGGCCCCCAAACCCCAAATCAGGAAGGCCTGCTGCCTCAGCACACCCTCCCCGCCCCCCACAGGCCCAGGAAGGGCTCTGTTTACCAACGGAAGGACAGGAAGCAGGTAGCCTCAGGCAGCCCCTGTCCCCGCCCAGCTGGGCAGCGCGTGACAGCAGGCCCCATCCCGCAGGACAGCGTCGCCCTCCCAGAGAAGCAGCGACCGCAGCGAATACAAGAGCTGGCATTTCCTGGCGGTTTCTTTTATCCCAGACATTGTGCTGCCTCCTTTCAAAACTCACAACCACTCCAGGAGGCGGGTCCTGGCGCCCTCTTCTTCCCATGACACAGACAAGAAGACTGAGGCTGAGAAGACCTGCCCGAGGTCCCACAGCAGTGCCCTGTGATGGGGCCACCAGGGCAGGCGGGGCCGTCTGGGAAGCTGGGGGGCGGCGAGGAGACAAGGCTGAGCGTTGGACTCTCTTCTAGGCCAGGTCACATCCTAGGGACAACTCCCCGCCAGATCAAGCAGGCCCCAGGGTCAGGGTTGGGAGTATGCTTGAGCCCACCCTAGGGGTCTGGAGAGAACAGATCCAACCCAGCACCCCAGCCCACAGCGCTGGGTGTCGAGAGGAAGGGAAGGGGGCCTGTTCCCGGGGAGGGTCCATGGTTTCCACCTGCTGCGTCCAGACCCCCCTCCCCTCCCAGGGACACCGCGTGCCCATCCGTGACACAAGCAGGCAAGCCGCAGCCTCCTGCCCGAAGCTGGCTGGGCAGTCCTCTGCCAAGGTGCTGGCGGATCATTCTGGTCGAGCAAGCCAGAGGCTGCAGAACCAGCCCTTTTCATGCTTGGCCAATTTAATGGTCCCCATTAATTTCAAAACACACACATTCCCACAAGCTCCGGCCTCCTCGGCCCAGTGCTCAGGACAGAGAGCGCGCTGGGAACACGGGTGCAGGTGCTGTGGCCGGGCGGCCTCAAGGACAGGGAGGAGCCGCTCGGCGGGGGGCAGAGGGGGCAACGCGTTTCCGGACCTTGGGTCTGTCCTGATGGGGAGAAGAAGGACCCAGAGAAGGGACCCGGTTCTGGGGGACGGGGAGGCAGGAAGGCCTGCTTGGCCACTTTGCTGCTGTGTGACCCTGAGCGGGCCATCGCCCCTCTGGGCCTCAGATACTCAACCACTTTCCTCTCTAAAGACCGCAAATGCCTTGAGAGCGGGCACTGGGTCACCCTGAGCCTTGTGTCCCCAGAGGCTCACGCAGAGACAGGAACCTCCCAAGCAGCACATACTGTCCACCTCCGTCCTCAATGCAAAGTGCATTGGCACCCTCCAGCCCTGACGTCTGTGACCCATCATGGGGGGACTGGGGCAGGAGGAGGAGGAGGCCCAAAGGGGGTCACTTCCAGTCCCTCCATCTGACCAACTCTCAAAGGCATTCAAGCAATCATTTATTCAACAAACTTCCACTGAAACCTGGCACAAAGGGTCACTGGCCCGCCCTCGGGTCCCCTGTGGAAGGAAGGGAAGGATCTGGCTAATACACAGGTGACTTGGCAGAGGACCTGGGGGTGGAAGGACCTTCCCAGGGTCCTCGAGTCCTGCCACTGGCCAAGCTCAGCTCGCTGGACCGGGCCCTGCGAGCCCTCAAGGGAATCTCAATAATTCAGGAGGGATCTATCATTTATGAATTTATGTAACCGCTTCTCGACCTTGTGGAAACAAGCCGCCCTCCTCTTACGGTGGTAGAAATGAGGCCTTGGCACTGTCTCGGGTGTTTGGGGCTTTCTAATGTGGGGAGGGGGCCAATTGGACCCCAGGCCTCCCAGGCGGCCTTCCAATCTCCTCTGCCCCTCACCCCCACACTAGAAGCCGAGGGAGCTTCTGAGAACACAAGCCTGATCGCATCCCCCTTAAATCCCAAGTCTGAAAGGGGAGGGTTTGATTCCTGGCTTGGCCTTTTACCAGCACTCTGGCCCCGTGTGGGCCTCAGTCTCCTCATGTGTAAAATGGAGGAACCATTGGTGCCCACCTTGGAAATGAGGCCGTGTGTGCGACGTGGGGGCAGCCCCTGGCCTGGAGGGAATAATGAATAACAAGCTGCCACAGCCTAGATGCAGGGGCTCTGGGGGGTGAGCTGGGGGCAGGGGCTGGGACAGGAGCTAAAGCCCACTGCGGGGCCTCACGGGGCCAACGAACCCAGACCCAGATCGACATTAGCACCACCTTTCCTGCATTGACCAGCCACCCTTCCCCCACCCCACTTCTCAGAGGGAAAATGACAACATACCTACTCTGTGACCCAAAGAGAAAAGGGAACAAAGAAGAGGCATTCCCACCCCCACCCCCAAAATACAAGGATTTCTGGGACGCCTAGGTGCCTCAGTCGGTTGAGTGTCTGACTTCAGCTCAGGTCATGAGTTCGAGCCCCGTGTCAGGCTTGCTGCTGTCAGCACAGAGCCGGCTTCAGATCCTCAGTCCCCCCCTCTCTGCTCCTCCCCACCTTGCATGTGCATGCGCGCGCACTCTCTCTCTCTCCCTCCCCAAAATAAATAAATATATATTTTTTTAATACAAGGATTTCCTGGAAACTCTAGAGTCAGGTAAACCTCCCCACCCAGCCCCACTACTGGTTAGCTGTGTGGCCTTGAGCAAGTTATTTCACATCTCTGAGCTTCAGTCTCCCCTTTGACACTGCGGGCTAACATAGTAACACCAGGAGGACAGGAAAGGTGGCATGGGATGTGCATTCAGCCGAGCGCTGGAGGGAGGCCCTTGCTCAGGACGGGCCCTGGCTCATTCCCAGCTCCTCAGAGCACCCCCCAAGTCCCCCCTGGCCTGCCTCACCCCTTCCTGCCAGGGCTCTCCCTCTCCGCCCCTAGAATGCCCTCATCCAACTTCTGACTCAGTGTCCCCTTCTCGGCACAAGCCAAGCCTCCACATTGCCTCCTCCAGGCAGCCTTCCTGATTGTCTACCACCCCTGCAGCAAAAGCCCTCTTGTACTTTGTGCTATCTCTTTGCATTCCCGTGTCTCACCTTGCATTTGGGATAAGAGAGTGTGTCTTTGGTAGCCTGGGGTCTCACCTCCATGCCCTGCTGCACAGTCCACCGCATGAAGGAAAGGCCCGTGGGAGTTCGAATTCCAACTCAGTCACCTGCCAAGCTGCACCTTGGTTTGATCCGGGGTGGGCGCGTGGAGGGAGTGGAGGGAGTGGTAGGTTCTCACTGTGGGTCCCTGGGGGGAGGGGGGGACAGGCCCAGCGACCAGACCAGCCTGGCTGTCTGCCCCCAGGCTACCCCGCACCCAGTCTCCCTGCCCACTGCAGAGAGGTTGCTGCTGTTGGAGGCAGCCTGGCCGGCAGGCAAGCCTCAGCAAACACATTTAAATCTGAAGTGACAGATAAAGCGATTTACGGCGACAGTTTAGCATCAGATCACTTCCCACAAGGCAGCGGCGTCCCTCAGCCCCTCCTGCTGGCTAGTCCATCAAGGCGGTCTCTAAATCACCGACTGCGAGCAATGGCCCAGGACCCTGGGGCTGGGCTCGTGGGGGCCTCCAGGCAGCCAAAGGGACGAGGCCTGGACTGTGACTGGCTGGGGAGATGAGCGGCTGGCAGATTTTCACAAATCAAAGACCCAAGACTTAAGGAAACAGAGCACCACTTCATGCATTATTTTAAATAAACAAGCGGCTTTAAAAAAAACTCCCAGCGAGGCCAGCTTGTCACTGTGAAACCCGGCTACCCACTCGTGCGGCGCATCCCGGCCCGCGCGCCCGCACCCCTCAAAGGCCTCGCTGACCTGCCTTGCCTCCCGCCACCTCCTGCAAGAATTAATTGGTCCCTGCGGCGTCGCACGGCACTTTGTTCAGACCTCGCTTCCGGGGTTTTGTCACATTATATTCTACTTAGTCGCTCTTGCTCTTGACTTACTGATAACAATTTACTAGGGGGGCTTGCTATGCGCCAGGGCATCGGACTCACGTCATCCTCTCACGGCCACCCTGGGTGGGGCTAAGGATGGTCCATTTTTCAGACGAGGAAACAGGAGCCTCAGAGGCCACCACCAAGAGTCCTGGCATCCCCATCAGCTCCTGGCCTCTGTGGCCACAGCCAGGATTCCCTGGCCTGGGATGGCTTTGAAGGGAAAGGGTCCTGTCGGCACAAAGCATCACATTCATCCCTGCTCTGTCCCGTGATGCCCTGAAGGCCAAAGCTGGCAGCCGGACCCCTGGCCTGGCTCAGAACGGGGGTCTTTCTTTGGGCTGGGACGTTTCCTGCCTGGGACTCAGCTGTCTGCCAAAGACTAGAGACCAGCCGGCACAGGCCTGGTAAGCTGGGAACCCCAAGGGCAAGGAAGTGACCCAGTCAAGGTCATACCCCCACCATGGCAATAAGAAGATGCAGATACTCCACAGGCCGAAGCACCGCCCCCCCAGGGTGGAGACCCCCAGACCTGAGCTTCTCTGGAGGAGACAGTAGTGAGGTTCGGGGCGTAGGCCAACCCGGAGCCACACGCACGGCCCGAGAATCTCCTGCTCCGGAATGAGGGCCCGTAGGGGCTCTCTGGTTTATCATGCCAGCATGGCAGCCCGATTTAATTAAGATGGATGCAGCGTGCCCCCGTGGGTAAGAGCCATGGCCCGCTACCAGATGGCAGGAGCTTGAGACCCTCTGGGCACTGCCTGAGCCAGGAGCCTCAGTGGCGGCCTGTGAAAGCACAGGCAGGGAGGGCCCGAGGTGGCCGGCACTGCACCCAGGTGCTTGGCGGGGGGGGGAGGGGGGCTCCTGACCCTGTGACCTCCAGTCCTGCCAACCACTTGCTAGGCATCCCGCATTCTACCCTCTGCCCCAGCCCCCCACCACGTACGATACAGCATACATCACATCACAACACGCGCACGCACACACCACACACACACACACCCCACATCCCACACACATACCATCATAGACACCACATAGTACACATACACTCCGATCACATCTCAAATACCAACAGAGGGGGGCAAAAAGCAGGCTTGGACTTCAAATGCCAGAGGTTCAGTTGGCAAACAGTCTGATTTCCCGAAGGCCTGAGAGAAGCCATGGGCGGGGAGTGGGGGAGAGAAGGAGGCGGAAAGGTAGGGAGGGCGCCGGGCCCCTGCCATCCCCAAGGATCCCCAGGGCCCCCCAAAAGCATGGGAAGGGAGCCTGCAGCCAGGCTGGAGACACCTCAGCTCACAGCTCTTCAGGATGGAGGGAGTTCTAAGAATCCTGACCCCCTTTTCTGTCTCAGGCCCCTCCCAGCTTCCCTGCATGCATCCCGCTCCATGGCCCCTGCCGCTGGAGCAAGGCCCAGCCAGCTATGGCACCTTCCCGCCCCCATCTGGCCACAGGGACAGAAAGAAACACCACCCCCCCCCAAAATCTAGAAACTCCAAAGCTGACCTCAAGTCCCCAGCACCACCACCCCCGCCCCCACCCCCCCATGGGACTCTGACCCCCCCACGGGACCAACACTGCCCTCAGCTTCAAAAATAAAAATTTAAAAATTCACACCCCGCTATAATTGCTCGCTCCTTTCCCCCATTGTGGTGGTTCCGCGGTCGGTGCTGAGAAGCAATTATTCATGGCTAATGATTATAATCAAGTCAAATAGAATTTAATGGACACGCATTCTCTTCCTGCTTGAAACTTTACATATGAATTAAGCACATATGGGTTTCACGAGGCACAGACCAGATTTATGCAGCCCCGAAAAGCCCCGCGTTGCCTCGACTTTTATTCTGCTAATAAACAGGCTGATTTACGGGCGCCACCGGGCGCGGAAACCGCGATCTCTGCTGCCCCCTGGTGGGCAGCAGGCCCGCGCGGAGCCAAGGCCATTGGGCCCCCCCAGGGATGAGGCCAGAGGACCCTGGGGGTGGGGCTCCAGACCGCAGCCACCAATGACCCCTGAGGTCTGAGCAGTGGCAAGGCCACCATCACACTGGCGCCAGGAAAATGCCTGGAGGGAGGACCCAGAGGGGAAGCAGGCTCTGTGGGAGCCCCACGTCTGGGGCCGCCTCAAGCCATTCCCTGGGGTTCCAGACAGGTTCTGGGTCCTCCCTGCTCTGAGAATCTAGGGGAAAAAAGGAAATCCTAGGAAAACACATCAAGAAGTGTTGGGTAAACTGAGGCAAGCAGGGAGAGATGAAAGCGGCACATTAGTAGGAGGCACCAGCATCCCCTGGCATTCCCAGGCACCCACAGTGACCCTATGCCAACGACGGAGGAGTCGTCCATGGTTCACACCAGGTACTGCATGAGCATCACGGGTTACAAGCATGGGTCCCTAATGCCGGCGAACAGCCCAGTGGGTGGGTTTTCTACCATCCCCATCATGCAGAGGGGGAGGTGGAAGCCCAGGCACGTTCACAGAGAAGAGGAGCCCCCAGAGAGATGCAGCAATGCCCCCGCCCCCACCCCAGTGCAGCCGAATGCAGCCAGGACCCAAGTGCTCTTCTGGGCCGAGGACCGTTGGACTGCGGCCAGCGCCGGGTACGTCACAAGAGCCACGAATCCCACCCACAGCCCTGCATGCAGCCTCCACCTGGCTCCTCCCACACACCCCCAACAGCCTCCCTCAGTCTCCGCACCTCTCGCCTGGCCTGCCTGACCCCCCCCGCCCCCCACTGGCTGGAAAGGCGCTGATAAGATAAGATGCCCCATTCATCCTTCTGGCCACTTCACAGAAGAAAAGGACTGCCAGGGATCCATTCACACGCTTGCCCATGACACCCAGCAGAGCGCCCCCCCCCCCCCCCCCCACCCCCCCCACGCAGGGCTGAGTTCTCAGCCATGGCTCCAAGGCTTGGTCCTTCCACCCCAGACCAGCCCCTCCTGGGTCCAGGCGGCAAGAAGGCCCTTCTCCTCTGGACCACAAGGACATCTGCCCACCCAGCTTGGCTTGTCTGCACCCCATGTCTCCCCAGAGATTCGCAGACATGCTGTCACCCGCCGCCCCTGCCCTAGTGGCCTGAGAGAAGCCCAGCAGAAGCACCAGCAGAAACTCAAAGGCAACCCAGCTCCCTCTGCGCTAAGTCGGAACTCCTGCCTTTGTGTGCCGGGTCACCTGTGCGCTGAGATGGGCAACGTGGTGGCGGGGGGGGGGGCGGGGGGAGGACACCTGTGTGACTGCACAAACAGGCAGAAAGATACACAGAGCGATGCCGCTGCCAGAAAAGCAGCCCAGACCACAAGCAAGTGGGCCAGGGACAGGCCACAAGTAACAGGCTGAGTGGCTGCCTCACCCCAGGGTGCATGAACCCAGCCACTTATCAAGAGCAGCTGGCCTGTCCATTGCGTCCCAGGATCACTGGGTGATGCCACTCCCTGGCCAGCACTGGGGTCGGACACAATGGCTGCAAGCCCAAGGGCAAGGTGGAGGAGATCTGAGCCGCTTCCGGGGTGGGGGGTGGGGGGACTGCACAGTGACGTCCCCCCCCAGATAAAAGGCTCCGCCCATGTCTCCAAACCTTTCTCTAAGGAAGCCTCTGCCTGTGAAGCTTGGGAAGCAGGCGAGCGAGGGCTGGGATTCAGCCCACAAAGTACCAGGTGGACTTGACTGTCCCTCAACAGCCCAGTGCTGACCTTGGCCAGACAACCGCAGCTCGGAGAAGGGCAAGCACCTTCCTCCTACCCCCCCAGGAGGGGAGAGAAGCAGGAGGCTCCTCCACTCATCACAATAAACCACCAAGCCCGCTGCTAGAGTCACAGCAGGAAGCAGAGTGAGTGTCAGGCACAGGGGCCTCTGTCTCCCCCCTTCCCCTTGACGAGCTGCCCCCCCACCCCCGCCTGCTCCAGGTAGAAAGGGGGGCAGAGCAGGCAGGAGGCAGAGGAAGGAAAGCAGCGGTCGGGCGTCTGGAGCCCCCGAGGTCAGATCGCCCTGCTCTGGCCCCCACTTCCTGGCAGGGAAGCCCGGCGCAGTTCCAGCCAAGCTCTCTCCCTTCCCGGCCGCTAATGGGTCTCAGAGCTGCAAGGCGGCTGGGCCAAGGCACCCCCGACACAGCAGGTCAAGGTTTCAAGGGAAGGGAGTCCTCGCGGCCCACATGCTGGGTTCCTGAGGCGCCAGCGAGCCACCCCCATCTGGCCACCCGAGCCTCGCCGGAGCCAGGTGGCGCCGACCCGCGCCTGGCATCAAGGGCTGGAGCAGAGGTGACGAGGCCGCCACCGCCTCTGCGGCTCGGGCCAGCCACAAGCCCCCACTCACCAGCGTTGACAATGGCGTCCACCTCCAGCTTGGTGATGTCGCCTCGGAACAGAGAGATCTTCTCGTTCAGTTGCTTGTCCTTCTTGTACTTTGGCTCCTCCACCTTCGCGGTCACCCCTGGACACGCAGAGGCCGAGGGGGAGGGTCAGAGAGAGGCCCGCACTACACAGGGACCCACCCACCGGTGCCTCCATCGACCCGCCCCCACCCCTGCTCCATCCCCCGGAGGCACCGGCCGCAGCCACCCCACAGTGATTAAGCACCCCTTTTGCGAGGCACACGCTTGGTCGCCTTGAATTTTCACAAGGTCAAACACAGGTACGCCATTAATGTCATCCCCCTCCATTTTACAGACGTGGAAACTGAGGCCTAGGCGGGTGAAGGGACTCACCCTGGGGTACCAGTGGCCAGACGTGCAATTTGCAGGGCCCAGACGCTCCCTGGCTGTCGCACGGCAGGCCACTACCCCTCCGCGTCAAATCCCGGCTCCTGACAACCGTGTGCGGTCATGAGCCTGGGGCTCAGTTTCCCAACAGTGCAATGGGGATAAAAACGGAAGCTGCCTCAGACCGTGTTCATAATTAAGTGAGGTGATGACGCAAGGGGGCCCACCCGTAGCAAGCCCTCGGCACGTGCTGCTGCCCTTCTGGCGGGGTGGGTACAATGCCCCTCCGACAAGGGGCCAAACAGGCCACCCACCAAGAAGCCAGGGGTCCCTGGCGTGGGGCCTACCTTTCGCTGTCTCTTTCCACGTCGGGATCTTCTTCAGCCTGACGAAGTCCCTGCAGAAGTAATGTTCTTCCCGCTGCTTGTCACTCAGGCCCTTCAGAAATGCTACAGGGGTGGGATGCGGCAGGCAGGAGGCAGAGTCAAGGCCGGCAGGGAGAAGGGCCTTCTCCCGCCCCCCATACCGCTCCCCTCCTCACCACAACTGTCGCCTCGTCCAAGGATGCAAACCAGCCCTTCATGTCCACCCCTCCCACAGGCACGTGGCGGGAGGGGGGGATGTTAGAGCCAGGAGGCCTCTAGACCATTCGGCCCTCCCCACGTTGTTCAGGAGGGAAACTGAGGCCCAGGGAGACAGGGCATCTCTCGGGTACCACGGACCTGAGTTCGGAATTCAACTCTGCCACCTTCCGGCTGTGCCCACGGACGTGTGGGTCCCTAACTTCTACGTTTAGAGCATGGGGCTTAAGATGCCCCTTCCCGGATCATTTCAGGCTCACTCAGTGCACTGGCTGGTGGCACTGGGTGACTTACATTATCAGTTACATCGTCAATAGACCCCCTCATTGTCATGGTTATTTGGAGGTGGCAGGACACAGGGAAGAGGAACAGACATCCTCAAAGAGCCAAAGAAACGAGCAGATCTGGTGGCTGTTGGCAGCACCCCCTCCCCCAGAACTGGCAGAGAGCTGCCCAGACAGATGCCCCAGGTGGGCTTCTCACAGCGTGAGCCAGGTAAGCAGCTAGAATTGTCCCTGTCTTACCGAGGACGAAATGGGGATTTCAGAAAGGTTAGGAGGCCAGACATAGTTACAGAGCTGCTGAGTGGGGGGCCGCCCCCCCCCGGCTCACAGACTCGGGGGTCCACCCCCAGTCTGGTTTCCTTGCTCTGGTCCCACTCCCCCGGGGTCTGGTCTTCCCTGTGGGTAGCCCTCTCTCTCTGCACCACCCTCCTCTTTCTCTCTCTTTCTAGGCAGAGGAGCAGCGGAGCCCCCTTCTAAGGCTGCCCGCGAGCACAGTGGTCCAGGCTCCTGGCCCTCGGGCTCCCTCTGCCGGCCTGAGGCCACCAGGCTCACAGGCTCTCAGCCCAGCCTTCCTCCCCTCTACCACTTCTCACTGACCGCTTGTTGGGGGAGGGTAACAAACAGCCAAGGCCACACTCAAGGAACTCAAAAACCAACAGAAAATGTGCAGAGATGGGGGGAGGGGAATTAGGGCAGGTGGTGGGAAAGGAAGGTGGTGGGAAGGTTTGCCTCCTGGAGGCTCCTGTGGGAAAGGCTGCCAAGGGCACGTGTTCAGGACAAAGTGGGGGCCTCCACCCATGGCCGTGGCCGTGCAGGAGCCAGTGCATCCACAGCCCCCACTCCTCCAGGACGCGCCAGGAGCACGGGACGGCCCAGCTCACAGCCCAGCTCGGTATGATGGTTGGGATTATTAGAAACGGCTCACAGCAGGGCTCCCGGGTGGCCCAGTCAGTTAATCGTCTGACTTCGGCTCAGGTCATGATGTGCAGTTCATGAGCTCGAGCCCCACGTTGGGCTTTCTGCTGTCAGCTCAGAGCCCACTTGGAATCCTCTGTATCGCCCCCCCCCCAGTCCTCCTCCCCTCAAAAATAAACAAACATTAAAAAAATGCTTTCACGGGGCACCTGACTGGCTCAGTCAGTTGGGCATCTGACTTCGGCTCAGGTCATGATCTCACAATTCGTGGGTTTGAGTCCCACGTCAGGCTCTGTGTGGTCAGCTCGGAGCCTGGAGCCTGCTTTGGATTCTGTGTTACCCTCTCTCCCTGCCCTTCCCTGACTCATGCTCTGTCTCTGTCTCTCAAAAATAAAAACATTAAAACAATAAATAAATAACGTTTTCACGAAACTCATACAACTCAACACCAGCAAAACAAACAATCCGATTAAAAAAACGGGCAAAAGGTTTGAATAGGCACTTTTCAGAGAAGACATCCAGAGGGCCAGTTTACACACGCAAATCTGCTCAACATCACGCATCATCAGGGAAACGCAAATCAAAGCCACATCCAGATGTCACCTCACACCCGCCAGAATGACTAGTATCAAAAAGACAAGAAACAAGAAATAACAAGTGTTGGTGAGGCTGTGGAGCAAAGGAAGCCCTGGCACACTGTTGGTAGGGATGTAACTTGGGGCTGCCACTGTGGGTAACAGTTTGGAGGTTCCTCAAGAAATTAAAGATAGGGGGGCGCCTGGGTAGCTCAGTCAGTTAAACGTCTGACTTCGGCTTAGGTCATGATCTACGGTTTGTGGGTTCAAGCCCCGTGTCGGGCTCTGGGCTGACAGCTCAGAGCCTGGAGCTGCTTCAGATTCTGTGTCTCCCTCTCTATCTGACCCTCCCCCTGCTCACGCTGTCTCTATCTCTCTCAAAAATATATAAAACATTAAAAATTTTTAGAAAAAGAAATTATAGAAACACCAGGGGTGCCTGGCAAGCTCAGTTGGTAGGGCATGCAACTCTTGGTCTTGGGGTCGTGAGTTCGAGCCCCACATTGGGAGTAGAGATAATAAATGAATGAATGAATGAAATACCATATGATCCAGGAATTCCACTCCTGGGTCTTTATCCAAAGAAAATGAAAGGATTGATTCAAAAAGACATATATGCGCTCCTATGTTCACTAAAGCACTATTCACAACAGCCAAGATAGAGAAGCAACCAAAGCGTCCATCATCGGACGAATGGATAAGGAAGATGTGGTAGATCTATATAATGGAATATCATTTGGCCATAAAAGAGAAGGAAATCTTGGCATTGGTGACAACATGGGCGGAGTTAGAAAAAGTTATGCTGGAGACACCTGGGGGGCTCTGTTGAATAGGCGTCCGACTTCAGCTTAGGTCATGATCTCATGGTTCGTGGGTTCAAGCCCCGCATTGGGCTCCGTGCTAACAGCTCAGAGCCTGGAGCCTGCTTCAGATTCTGTGTCTCCCTCTTTCTCTGCCCCTCCCCTGCTCGTGCTCTGACTCTGTCTTTCAAAAATAAACATTAAAATTTTAAAAAGGAAAGAAAATGTTATGCTGAATGAAATAAGACAGGACAGGACAAGTAGCACGTGACTTCACTTATTTGTAGAATCTAAACAAAACAAAACAAACAGCCTCATCAGGACAGAGAACTAGCTGGGAGTTGGCACAGGGCAAAGGGGTACGGGACTGGGTGAAACGGGATGGGGACTAAGGGGCACTAGTCTGAAGTTGTCAAATAAACAAGTCACAGGGATGAAATATACAGCGTAGGGAATGTGGTCAATAATGATGCAATGACGTTCATAGCAGCACTCTCCACAATAGCTAAAACATGGAAAGAGCCTAAGTGTCCATCAACAGATGAATGGATCAAGAAGATGTGGTTTATCTATACCATGGAATACTACATGGCAATGAGAAACAATGNTGAAATCTGGCCATGTGTAGCAACATGGATGGACCTTGAGGGTGTTATGCTGAGCGAAATAAGTCAGGCAGAGAAGGACAAATATATGTTTGCACGTATAGGAGGATTAGGAGGAACTTGACGGAGGACCAAGGGGGAGAAGAAGGGGGGAAATGGTGGGGGAAAGGGAGAGAGACAAACCATGAGAGACTCTTGAATGCTGACAAAAACTGAGGACTGATGGATGTGGGGGGGAGGAGAGATGGGCATGGAGGAGGGCACTTGTGGGGATGAGCACTGGGTGTTACGTGGAAACTAATTTGACAATAAACTATTTGTAAAAAAATAATAATAATGATGCAATAACTTTATATGGGGGACAGGCAGGGCCCACACTTATCGTGGTGAGCGTTTTATAACATCTACGAAATACCACGTTGCTGCCACACACCTAAACCCAACGTTGTCTGTCAATGACACATCCATTAAAAATAAATAACATTTAGGGGTGCCTGGGGGGCTCGGTCAGTTAAGTGTCTGACTTCGGCTCAGGTCATGATCTCACGGTTTGTGGGTTCGAGCCCTGCGTCAGGCTCTGTGCTGACAGCTCAGAGCCTGGAGCCTGTCTTCAGATTCTGTGCCTGACCCACCCCTGCTCATGCTATCTCTATCTCTCTCTTAAAAATGAATAAAGCATTGGGGCGCCTGGGTGGCTTAGTTGGTTGAGCGTCCGACTTTCGCTTAGGTCATGATCTTGCGGGTCGTGGGTTCGAGCCCCGCGTCGGGCTCTGTGCTGACTGCCAGCTCGGAGCCTGGAGCCTGTTTCAGTCTGTGACTCCCTCTCTCTCTGACCCTCCCCTGCTCACGCTGTCTCTCTCTCTCTCTCCTAGAAATAAATAAAACATAAAAAAAAAATTTTTTTTTAAATGAATAAAGCATTAAAAAAATTTTTTTAATAAATAAATAAATAAATGCTATTTTAAAAATGCTTTTGCCAGATAGAGATTGCGAACTCTCCCCACTGCCAGCTAAGGGGCCAAGGATATCGAACCGTGGATGGCACTCAGTGTGGCCAGTCCCCTCCGTCACTAGCATGTCTCGATGCTCACAGCCCATCTATCTCCCTGCCCGCAGGGAGGACGCAGAGGGGAAGCAGGCTTCTCAAGAGGCTGCTTTCCCTGCTGGACACATGAACATGACCCCATGCAGGGTCTGAGGAACAGCCCAGGGGCTCCCACATAAGCGCCCCTTCCTTTGTGTGCTGGGGGGAGGGTTGGCTGGCCTTTTCTATAAAGTGGGGGTACAGAAAGCTCTCCCTCTTGTTCTAAATAAGCAGCAGAACAGCCCTGGTCAGGTGCATCGCAAAGCACTCAGCTGCTGGCGGACAGAGTGACTGAGCCAAGGACAGACTGGGGGGCGGAGGCCGGGCTCCATCCGGGCTCTGCCGCTCCCCTCCCGCTCCCCTCCTGGCAGGCTGAATGCAGAGTAGTCAGTTAATAAATATTTACTGAGCACCCACCGGGCACCAGCAAGCCCCGGGGGCTGGGGGCGGGAGGCCAGGGGAGGTGCCGGGGGCCTGACCGAGGCCAGGACCCAGGACCGATTCCTGGAGGAGGCACCTCTAACTCCTCCCCTCTGCCCCAGAGGCTGCAAAGTTGCCAGAGAAAATCCTCTCTCCAAACAGAAGGCTCCCTCTAGATTCCGATC